TGGCAGCATTGCAGCTGCTTGGCAATCTGGCTTTGGAAAGGTTCCAGTCGGATTTACCACATATGCTCCCAACTGCATTGAGCGAAGCTGGCGCCTGCTCAAGTCGCTTTTGCGCTCCAGGCTGGACTCAGACAGGTGAGAACTTTTGTTTCTGCTGAGTGGAGCTGCGCAGCTGTTAAGTCTCATTCTGCTTTGGGCATAATTAACCCCTCTGTTCAAGGGTGTCTTTTGCTGGAAGCCTTCCCCCAATACGAGTTCAATCTCGGCGGTCCTGTGCTCCCTGACAGGGACAAGAAGATGGAGCCCGCTGCGCTCATGGTGGAAGTTTGCGCTGTTTTTCGAAGTCGGCTGAACTCGGGCTTTTATGACAACTTGCGCGAGACCCTGGACCGCCCGTGGCCTGCTCTGGAAGTTGGTGCCCCAAAGGGCTGCGTCAAACACGCCGTGCCTGAGTCAGAGGACGACGGAGAGCCCAGTGCGAGCCAGCGGCTGTGCTTGGACGACCTGCTCAAGCACTATCGGAAGAGTGGGCCTTGCGCTACGTTCTTGGCTTCAGTTTGCGATCTGCCTCTGCAAGATGGCTCTCGCGCACGCCTTTGCTACGTCATCCCGAAGTTTCGGCTTGAGTACGCCGAGAGCAAGCACGAGGAGATGTCCGCAGCCCTGCACTTGGCGCTGGCGCGCACTCCAAGTGATGTGCGGCAGGCGTGCGCTGCCCCCACTACAGGCCACTGGAGGGTCTTCATTTTGACACGCAGTCTCTTTTCTGGTTTTCAGGTGTTTCCTGATTTTCCAAGAGACAACCGTTTACCGCATGTTGACCGCCAGTCTTCACTGGTTGGGGGCAAGGTAGACATAGAGTGTGTTTGGGCAACACCAAGTGGGCATTTACATCTCCCATATTACCCTGGCTCACGCCTGCAGGCGGTTATTGCATGTTCCGACACCTCAAACTTCGGCACCGGTACTGCACTGTGTACGTTCGGACGGACAACACAGTGGTGGATGCTCACCAACACTTTGTGGAGGGCGCTGGCCACACAGAGCACGCTCTCTTTGTCGAGAGCTTGCTTCGCCCTGCGGCTAGCCTAGCCGTGCCCAAAGGCAAGGCCAGCAGTGGCCCAGGCAAGAGAGCTTCCAAGCAAGCCCGCTCCGAACGTTTGAGGACCATGCTTCAGCCCCCAGTTGCCCTGGCCTCGCAGGAGGGTGTTGCCTTGCCGCTGCAAGACCTGCCTGCTGAGATGAGCGACCAGGTGATGAGCGCAGAGGCGACGGTAGAGCTTTTGCCTGGTGCAGCGCAAGTGCCTTCTGCAGTAGGGGCTCTACAGGCGTGTTCCTCCGAAGCAGAGCTCCTCTGCATGGCACGGACCAAGAAAGGAGACCGCTGCAAGAATGCTCGCTGCCAGGGGAACTTCTGCAAGTGCCACAATGAGGAAGCTGCGTCCCGCAAGTTCATGCTGGCATTTTTCACAACTGTGGACGCAGCTGCTCAGCAGGCGATGTTTGCGTGGGAGCAGAGCCAGACAGAATTGGCTCTCAAGAACAGCTTGGAGAAGAACTTGGAAGTGAAGCAGCAGATCGCTACTGCCAACAAGATCCTGGACGATCGCGTGGCCGCAATGTCACGTCGCCGTGCGCCTGTCCCAGCCAATGGGAACTGCCAGTTTCAAGCAACTTGACGCAGTAACACAAGCTTTGTCTTTGGTTCCGCAGTTTTCCCGAACACGTAGCGAAGGGTGCTAAAAGGGGTCTGACGGTTGCGAAATTCAGAACTCGAATTCACTTCCCAGGCTTTGGTGTACTCAGCGGAAGTGCCCATGACCGCTGCTGACCTGAGAAGCGCAGTTGTCATTTATCTGACCCCGCTGGGGTCGTTTTTTGCTGACAGGCTGGTGGGCCGTTTTCACGGTCGCTACGGCCTGTATCTGCAGAACTTGCGCAAAGATGGCGTTTGGGGGGACGACCTGTCCCTGCTAGGCGCGGCACATGTGTTTCGCCGCCCCATCCATGTGATTTGCGACACTGCCAAGGACGGCGATGCCCGCGTTGTATGTTCCCCGAACTTTTTGGCAGAGTCGCTTTGGGGCAGTCCCATTGTGGTGACCCTCCGAATGGATGTGCACTACGATGCAACCTGCCTGGCTGGTTGCACCCTGACTTAGACCTTTTTGTCCATGTGGCGCTTCGAACGCAACGCCGCACCACGATGCTTCGTTTTTCCTAGCCGGGGCTGAGAAAGCAGAACCCCACACCAGTGTGCTTGGTGTGTAGAAACAAGCGTGGCTGCGACACCTCCCAGTTTAAGTTGGAAGGCTCCCTGGTCCCTGGCTGCCTTTTGGACAAATCACTTTGCCAAAAGAATTAAGTCTGGAGTTAATTCTTTTCCAGGCGCTGTTTGCGGTTCTTGCGTTTTGAGCCAGTTTCTGCACCATGTAGCAAACGTGAGGTGTTAAAACCCTCCTGGCCCCGCGCCTAAATTGGGAAGCCGTTCTGAGGTCCATGTTCTTGTTGGTTGAAACGTTCCTTTGATTGCCACATTTGGCTCAAGACACAAGTAGGGTTAAGGTCTTGCATGAACTACGTTCGCCTGTGATCGATCTGTGTGAGAGAAAACATGTTCATTCGCGCCGCTGATATCGGGTGTGTGTTTGCGGTTATTGGACAATACCCCTTACAACAGTTTGCACTGGTTTGGCTGTATCGGTTTGGCCGTATATCCTTTCTACGTGATTGAGTACATTCAGCTGGAAGCTTGGTGGACAGCGGTCCCACGGGACGTCAACTTGCTCTCTTGACATGAGGTAAGTTCTACGGATTCTTGTATCTTTTGGTTATTGATGCTTGCGGCCACAAAAGGACGGTGCCGGATCTGGGTTGAATTTTGTTTGCAAAAGCCAAATCTGGGACTCTTGGCGAAGGGCCTAGAAAAGAATTAAATTCAGAGTTAAGTCTTTTCCAGGCCATGTTTGCGCAAAGAGTCTGCGGTTCCTTCGTTTTGATCCAGCTTCTGCAAACGTGAGGTAAGTTCTACGGATTCTTGTATCTTTTGGTTATTGACACTTGCGGCCACAAAAGGACGGTGCCGGATCTGGGTTGATTGTTGTTTGCAAAAGCCAAATCTGGGACTCTTGGCGAAGGGCCTAGAAAAGAATTAGATTCAGAGTAAATTCTTTTCCAGGCCATGTTTGTGCAAAGAGTCTGCGGTTCTTTGGTTTTGATCCAGCTTCTGCACCATGTAGCAAACGTGAGGTAAGTTCTACGGATTTTTGTATTTTTTGGTTATTGATGCTTGCGGCCACAAAAGGACGGTGCCGGATCTGGGTTGAATTTTGTTTGCAAAAGCCAAATCTGGGACTCTTGGCGAAGGGCCTAGAAAAGAATTAAATTCAGAGTTAATTCTTTTCCAGGCCATGTTTGCGCAAAGAGTCTGCGGTTCTTTCGTTTTGATCCAGCTTCTGCACCATGTAGCAAACGTGAGGTAAGTTCTACGGATTCTTGTATCTTTTGGTTATTGACGCTTGCGGCCACAAAAGGACGGTGCCGGATCTGGGTTGAATTTTGTTTGCAAAAGCCAAATCTGGGACTCTTGGCGAAGGGCCTAGAAAAGAATTAAATTCAGAGTTAATTCTTTTCCAGGCCATGTTTGCGCAAAGAGTCTGCGGTTCTTTCGTTTTGATCCAGCTTCTGCACCATGTAGCAAACGTGAGGTAAGTTCTACGGATTCTTGTATCTTTTGGTTATTGACGCTTGCGGCCACAAAAGGACGGTGCCGGATCTGGGTTGAATTTTGTTTGCAAAAGCCAAATCTGGAACTCTTGGCGAAGGGCCTAGAAAAGAATTAAATTCAGAGTTAATTCTTTTCCAGGCCATGTTTGCGCAAAGAGTCTGCGGTTCTTTCGTTTTGATCCAGCTTCTGCACCATGTAGCAAACGTCAGGTAAGCTCTACGGATTCTTGTATCTTTTGGTTATTAACGCTTGCGGCCACAAAAGGACGGTGCCGGATCTGGGTTGAATTTTGTTTGCAAAAGCCAAATCTGGGACTCTTGGCGAAGGGCCTAGAAAAGAATTAAATTCAGAGTTAATTCTTTTCCAGGCCATGTTTGCACAAAGAGTCTGCGGTTCTTTTGTTTTGAGCCACCATGTAGCAAACGTGAGGTATCCAATAAAGGACGGTGCCGGATCTGGGTCGAATTTTGTCGCAACAGACAGCCAAATCTGGGACTATTGACAAGGGGCCTAGAAAAGAATTAAATTCAGAGTTAATTATTTTCCTAAGAAGGTATTGGCATGCTTGCTGCCAGAAGAATTTTCTTCGAAGATAATTCTTTTTGAGACGGGGAGTTCGCACCCACTGCATCACATGGAATTAACTTCGGAGTTAATCTTTTCTAACTTTTGAATTCACTCCCTTCCAAGGACTAAACACTTTGCTCGGGGAAAACCTCGAAAGAAGCAGCTCCCTTCTGCAAGCTTCCACAATAAAAACAACTTCCGCGAACCTTCTGCACTCCCTCTGCAGCTGCAGTGTGACGCTACTTGTGTGTTTTCATTTGTCCACTTGACATGTTTGCTTGAAACAGGGGGAACAAATACGCCACTCACTCGAGTGGATCAGGTCCTTGTGGGCCAGGCGGCTGACAGTCCGCCTCCCCGACCTGGCACCAGCCCAGCGAGCTTGAAGCCTAACACGTTTTCGCGTCAGGGCTTGCCTCCAGGGCGCATCCGCCAAAACTGCGAAGCGTGTTCGTGCTTTTGAGCTTCTGAGTCACCTCTGGCCCCTGTCAAACATGGGCTGGGTCACTGGATGGCAACTCCGACCTTGCCGTTCAGGGCTGCCTCTCCAGCAACACCCAGAAGCCCACTTTTCTGAATGGCAAGGCAGAGCAAGCCTGCATCTCGATGACGGCTTCCTCCACTTGGCTAGCTGCTGCCTTGAAGCATGTTGACATGTTTAAATCAAGCCTCTTTCTTCTTGTTTGCTCCCTTGCTGCGCAAGCTCCCCACATCCGGGCATGCAAGTGCAAGTCACACTTTCTGTGCGATCTGTGCAGCATGCTGACATACAAATATACCCAAGTGTTGCTGCAATTATTTGCGAGCCCCAACTTGACTGGGCACTTCACAATAGCGATGCCTCAATTGTGGACTTCGCTCTTGGCTTCGTCGCTACACTACCGCGTCGCTAGAGATTTTTCTTGCACGCGGCGCCATGTGTGCGCACAGCCAGCATATCCCTACGGATTGCCGGCCACACCATGGTGGAAGGCCATCAAATAGTCCAAGTGCCTTGTCACCTTGTCACTGGACCAAGGCATCTGAGTACGAGGTCACGCCAAAGCAAGCCTCAGAGATGTCCGCTTTCGCAGCGTGACGGAGCTGACTAATCCGTCCAATAAACATTTTGAATTGGGATGAACAATGATGTGCCAATCATGATGCAATCAAGCAGCAGTTTCGAGCATGGGCAAAGCTCGTCAACAGTGCCTTTCGGGCGAAGCCATCTTGGAAGCTTCTGCGCTGCGTCCTGACAGAATGTGGCAAGGCTGGCCTGGATGCTAGAGAGAAAGAGAGAGAAGGAGAGGGAGAGGAAGAGGGAGAGGGAGAAGAAAAAGAGAGGGAGCGGGAGAGGGAGAGGGAGAAGGAGAAGGAGAGGGAGAGAGAGGGAAGGGGAGGAGGGGAGGAGGGGAGGGGAGGGGAGGGGAGGGGAGGGAGGGGAGGGGAGGGGAGGGGAGGGGAGGGGAGGGGAGGGAGGGGAGGGGAGGGAGGGGAGGGGAGGGGAGGGGAGGGGAGGGGAGGGGAGGGGGGGAGGGGAGGGGGAGGGGAGGGGAGGGAGGGGAGGGGAGGGGAGGGGAGGGGAGGGGAGGGGAGGGGAGGGGAGGGAGGCGGGGAGGGAGCTGTGGGCGTGTCTCGGATTGTAGGAAATTGAACGCTCCAAATCCACTCGGGAGTCCTCCGGCGAGGCCTCCACTTCCACGACGAGCATTGACTCCTTAGGACAAAAAATGCGTCGCGCGAGTGGCGTCCGCATTGCGTTTCCCCCTCATTGCGATTTTGCAACTCGAGCTTTAAGTGAACTTCGCACACTGTATAATATGGACTTAAAAGCTGCCACTTTTCATCCCAACCTCGGAACATGTGCTTTGCGTGCTGTATTTGTATTTTGTGTTGCGATGTTTAATCTGGAGATACTTGTGCGAATCTCTTCACACACGACTTTATACGTTCAAGTTGAGTCTGCCGAACCGTAGTTTGGAAAGTACTTTGCATGCGACTTTTGCCCCTGTGTAGCTGTCGAATCATGGCTGGGAAAACGTGGTTTGCAGACTTTCTTAGTGCAAGTTGTGCACTTGCGACGAGAGCACAGTGTCGTCATTAACAACTGCCATTGTCGCATCAGAGATGGGAAAGCGCTTGTTGCGTGCTACTTTTTGACTTGAATGAAAGTCATGATCATCAAGCCGAAGCTGGAGCCGGGAAAGCGTTCTTCGCAGACTCCTTTCACGCAAAAGTTGCAACTTTCCAGGAAGAATCGAGTGTGAACTTTACATACCACTTTTGCTAGACAAGTTCGCCTGGTTCGTTCGTTGCCTGGTTGGTTGGCTGGCTGGCTGGTTTGGTTGACAGCTGGGACACTAGTGGACAGGGCCCTTAGCGTGCTGGAGGATACCTTTCTTACTAGCAAGTAGAATAAAGCATAGAGCTGAGATACCTTGTACTACTCACCATCTGTGCGGTAGAAAATATGATTAGCTTGATTATCAAATGAGAGACTCATGCATTAAAAACCGTTGGCTGGGTTGGTTGGTTGGTTGGTTGGCTGGCTGGCTGGCTGGCTGGCTGGCTGGCTGGTTGGTTGGTTGGTTGGTTGGTTGGGTTGGTTGGTTGGTTGGTTGGTTGGCTGGTTGGCTGGTTGGTTGGTTGGTTGGTTTCTTGGTTATTGAGTTGGTTGAAGTTTTGCGTACATTATATAACCAATATAGAGGCTTAGTTTGTCAGTCAGCAAGTTGTTAATTGTGTTAGTTGGTGGGCGTTCGGTCAGTCAGGTGGACACTGTCGTACCTAGAATCTGATGAATCTGGATTTTGGCTTTTCATATGACAGCTTGGACAGAGGTTGTCAGGCCAATGACAGGCTCAATGAATTTCAAGCATCCGGGCCGCTTGGCTACACGTGATGGCTCAGGCTGGCAGAATGTCTATAAGCCTGGCACCTTCGCAGGAGTCTGAAAGAAGTGTGACCTCAAGTCCAGCTTCGGGACTTCGCACACCCCAGCCAACAGCCACCGAAGTGCATCTGGATCTTTGGACTGGTCCCAAGAAAGAACTCAGTGGCTCACCTGATGAACGTGCCGTTGTAGATGAAGGTGATGATCTGTTCCTCCAAGCTGCAAGGGCTCTAACTTTCCGACAAGCTTGCACGCCTGGATGGAGCAACGCTCCACGTGTGCCATGAAGAGCATATGCCTGTGTCTTAAAACTAGCAACCCGGTGTTCAAAGGGAACCAATAAAATACAATCCATATTATGGGGCTCCTAGCTTTCACACATACCTAGACAGACTCACGGACCAAGTTTCCTATTTACAGCATCAAGCGCCAATGGCCTGACAAACAGTCCTCCAAGCTGTCGAAAGTGTGACCTTCTGCCCCTACCGAGGCATCTTTAACCTGAGTGCAGGGGCAATTGTCCTGCACCAAAAAGGCATTTCAGCCAAGATGACAAGCTCTACAGCCCTAGTAAAGGATGCGCCGAAAGTATGAGTGAAAAACGCCTTCAGAGATAAGTAGCTGCCGTCTCATGACCAGCTTCTGATGCCCGGAACCTGGAGTCTTTGCCCATTGCACTCCACTTGTACTACGGCACTTACACACAAAGGCTTCACAAGCTCGCTGGATATCAAGTTCGTCCGTCTTGCAAATAGCAAAGCGTGCACCCAAGTAATATCGTCTCTCTTTCACTTTCGCTCTCTCTCTCGCCCTCTCTCTCTCTCTCTCGCTCTCTCTCTCTCTCTCTCTCGCATCCCAGCAGCTTCTTTTGGTAGTGCCAAGCATCCATTTCGAACTGCAATTCGACGGTCCCATCCTCCTGGCAAGCCACAACACAAGGACTCGGCCAATTGAACTACACATCGCCTGGGCTTGGCATAGATGTATCACTTGCGCTTGCGACAAAGGCGTTGCGATGCTCGCATCGTCTCCTTCATGTCCTGATAGAAATAGGAGAGTGTCCTGTCCTGCATCGTTCTCCTTAAATCGGCGCGCTGCAACAAGAATGCAAAAGTCGAAGTTACCCTGTGCATGTCCATACGAGCTCGTTATCACACCTTGGCTTGGCCGTCAACCAAGTTTCTTCTGAAGACGAACCTAGCAGGTGACTCACAAATCCGGCGCAGGAACTTTGACATGTGTGAATTGAGTTGAGGTATTCACCACATTGACATTCAGCCCCAGCCCGAGAATTCAATTGCTTCGGCCTTGTCACTCAACAGTGTGCTTCGGACCTCGCTGAACGACATGTAGCCAGCCTGCGTGTCCAAGAATAATCCAAAACTTTTGCTGTTCCTACGGTTTCCATCTTCCTTACCATCACTTCCGTCTTGCCTGCGGGTCTAGTCGAAGAAGGCGCTTCACTTCGTCGCGGCTCAAGAAGTCGCACACCCAGCGCGACTTACGCTCGACTGTGACAGGATCGCCAATTATCCTCCGTCAAGAAGCCCTCACCGCATTCAAAACATTTTGACTAGGTCAGTTCACTAATGGCGATGCAGCCGTCCTCCGGACAATGTTCTTGACGTCCTCTCGTTTCTTTGCAAAATCCTTACCTTCATTCCTTGCGCGCAGCCGTGCAGATGATTCTTTGGAAGCTTCCCTCGAAGCTTCACTCTGGCACGTAGCAACTTGTTTTTTGCAATGCTCAGCCCAGAGCGAAACGATGTGGTGATTTTTGACGCCCAACCATGCCTGCTTGAGTTTTTGGAAACAGCTGCAAATCATCCCTGGCCCCCTGGCCTGTTGCGTCTTCACATCCATGGCACGGGCTTGCTCGGACGTCTCATGGCGAGCACTCTCCGTGCCATTACCTAAACAACGGATGAATGACATGCCCACACACACGCACACACGCGTACGCAAAGACACACAAGCAAAAAAGGCAAGGACGCAAACAAACAAAAACATGCGGCGAACAAATGCAACCTGTCTTCACTGCCACCAAGCAACCTTCAGCCTGCCAGGGTAAAAAGAGACTGCGCAAAAGCATGCATCAATAGGCCATGGAGATTGGCAGGCCCACTGATCGTGCTACGAGTGGTCCAACATGCATGAGGGTTTGAAGCAAAGCGGTAGCAAGCAACTTGCTGCAGCGTGTAGAACTTCTCTGCCCCATTGGCGGCTGTGACCTTGAACAGCCCCGAAACACGATTCAACTCAAACCGCGAGTCAATCAAGCAGCCACTGCAACGCATGCATAGCACTAAGAGGATTGCCAAGTGGATGACATGATCATAACCTGAGCTTGCCAACGCTGGAAACCACTGAAAACAACCCCCCCCCATTCAGACTATCCTACAAATGTCTTTGTGCAACCTGGCTGCGCCTGTCACGAAGCCGTGCAGTGGTTGTGCCAAGCCTCAAGCAAACGCACAGCGAAAGTTGCCAAATTCCAATCCCGTCGCATGGTACTTCCTATGTGGTCCGGCATGCAGTCTCTGAATTATATCTCCACGCAGTGGTCACATGCCCTAAGGATCTTGTTTCATGAGAACGAGAGCAAGAAGCACTGTTGGAGTTCAGTGATCCGCCGACCCCCTCGCCAAAGGGGAGGCCCGCGGGAAGGGTGGCTGGCACATGAGCATAACCGAATCATCATCATCATCATCATCATTATCATCATCCTCATCATCCTCATCATCATGGTGATCATCATCATGGTGAGGATCAAACTACTGCAAGTTACACGAGTTCTGGTGATGCTTGGGCTGCATAGTCATTATTATCATCATGACAACAGGTGACGCTGGGGATGCATAGTCATGATGATGATGATGATGATGATGATGATGATGATGATGATCATGACAGCCCTGCATCTCAAGTGGAGTCTAGACACTTGAAACGTTCATCAAAAAATAAGGACAACGACGATGATGACGATGAGGAATCATGAGTAGGCATCCCCGTGATGAATCATCACTAGGCTTCCCCGACATCACCAGCATGGATGGTGATAATCATCACTACGCATCCCCACCATCATGATGATAACGATGACTTCGCATCTCCAGAACGTCAATGTGACTTTGGGGATGCGCAGGGATGATTCATCATCATCATCATCATTATCATCATCAGCATCGTCATGGTTCTCATCGGCATCATCGGCATCATCGGCATCATCGGCATCATCATCATCATCATCATCATCATCATCATCATCATCATCATCATCATCATCATCATCATCATCATCATCATCATCACCATCACCATCACCATCACCATCACCATCACCATCACCATCACCATCACAATCACCATCACCATCACCATCCCCATCACCATCGCCATCGCCATCATTCTCATCTTTATCTTTTGGATAAACATTTCAAGTGTGCCGTTCGACCCGACTTGAGATGCAACGGATGCGCGTCTGGCTCTGTTGTCTGTTGACCCTGCTGCAAAAAGTGTTCGACCGTTTGTGTGCCCTTCAAAAAGTGGCACGTGGATCAATGGCATTTTTGCACGGTTTCTCAAAGCCCCAAAGCGCAAATTCGGCGCACCCTTGCGATGCTAGCTCTTGGTGACGCACTAAGAGAGCGCCGTGCTGGTGGCTTCCACCACAACGCCCCAGACGGATGAGGCTCCACAAGTTGGCCCATGCGTGACAAGGTCCTAAACGCGTTGCCATTTCCTACAGAATCCCCAGATGTGAAGCATGCCATTGCAGCCAAACGGCTTCTCCTGAACCATAGACCATGCTTCCTGGCCAACAAATAGTAAATCCAACAACTGAAACAAATGCTTCCACGAGGCTTCGAGACGGCAAGCTGAGTCTACAAATCGAGCAACAAGGGCTGCCTCTGTGCAGTATGCGACATTGTCCACCACACCCCTATCAAGAAGAATGACTGCTCCTCGCGGAGGATCAGGAAGCATCCTGCACAGTCCCAAATCCACATGCCAAACACTCTCTCGCACAAGTTGCTTGTGCCACTCAAGTTCATGAATTTGATGAATTTGGACGTCACAATGATTTCTGAGACACATGCGCAACTCCTTCGCTTCGTCAAGGATTGCCTGAAACTGACGCGAAGCAGTATAATTTGCTGCATGGGTGGTGCTTCTGTATGCTGGCAAGCTCTAACCAGGCACGCTACGATGAAATAGGATAAATAGCCTGAAATACTCTGTTGATTTGCAAGCTGGCCTGGCCATCATCAGGATGCTGTCTTCGACGTGCATCTGCAAACCTGGCCGCCCCTTGACCGCTGAAACACCCAAGCTAACAGCACTGATCGATCGCTTAAGTTGTCCGCACATGTTCGCAAAGCCAAGGCTTGTCAGACTGATGCACATTGCACATCCAAGCTCGTGACTGGTCATTTCATACCTGATGAAACCGCAGCCATTCTGCACAACCTTCAAGACCAGTCAACGTGGTTTAGTTCAGAGGAAAACGACTTGCACAAGGTGCTGGAGCTGTGCCCAGGTCTCATTGTCTGCGGGGCCATCCTCTGCAAAGTCTGACCACATCCGGCCACCTGACCTGAGTCATGACACATCTTATCTTATTGGCCCGAGAGGCCAACGTTCAGAACTTCACACCAGACACACGTGGAGTGGAATGACTACAACAGCCTTCCAATGGAAGCCTTCACCTCCCTGCAGCGCTGCTCTCAAACTCATTCAGAGCCAGGCCAATTGAACATTTCTGTTGCTATCTCCTGGAACTCCAAACATGATCTCTAAGTCAGCTGGCAAGCTGGCAAGCTGGAATGCCAGTCCGGCATAGTGAACACAACAAAGTTCTTTTCAGACAGCATTTGCACCAGGTCGCTCATGACAGTACCTCGGTGCATCTGTAAAGCAAACATGGACAGAGTTAGTGCCACCTGCAGGCCGTGAACATTGTGCAGCTCAGAGTAGCAATGTACAGACACAGCCTCTAGCCAAGATGCTCTTTCCACCGCAAGGACCTCCAGTCAGCACTACACGATGAACTCTACCTCGTTGCCAAAGTTCGTCCTCCAACCTTAAGATAAAAGGCGTTTGAAGCTTGACTGGGGTAAAGCTTGCAAGGGCGGGGTGGACAAGCGAGTGCTAAAACGAGGCCATGGCACTTCTTCATCTTGCTCACCAGCTCGAAGCCCTCTCCCTCGCCGCGCTGCCTTGCCTCTGCTCGACGACCAAACTCCAGTTTGACTTCGTGTAGTCTAACAAATGCGTTCGCCTTGCTTGCACATGCTGCTGCAAGTTACCTCTAATTCTGAACCATAAAGAAACACTGCAACGTACGCATCAAACGGCTTTTCAGGAACCCGACGAAGCTCCCCCGCAGACCACTGCAAGGTTGCATGTGTGTGTGTGTGTGTGTGTGTGTGTGTGTGTGTGTGTGTGTGTGTGTGTGTGTGTGTGTGTGTGTGTGTGTGTGTGTGTGTGTGTGTGTGTGTGTGTGTGTGTGTGTGTGTGTGTGTGTGTGTGTGTGTGTGTGTGTGTGTG